CAATTTTCACCCCAGTCTTGCATTCTTCAAGCCCCGAACATCGCATGATGTGTTCTGCATACAAGCTGAATAGGTTGGGTGAGAATATACAACCCTGCTGTACGCCTTTCCCAATCTTGAACCAGTCTGTTGTTCCATGGTCAGTTCTGACTGTTGCTACTTGGTCCTTATACAGATTCCTCAGGAGAGAGATAAGGTGATTTGTTATATCTGTCAAATGTGGCTGAAGAATGCTAGAACTGTGTTTTAATGACGAAGATTATTTCTCAGATATCATACCATCTCTAATATATTACTAGAGATGAATCATTTTTCATGAAATCATTCAATTAACAGAAGAACATTATTTGCATTTGTAACTGGCTTAGTACCCATCCTAAGGCAGGAAACATCTTTTAAATTCAGCATTCATACTGCTGCTGGCTGATTTTTTTCTTTTTCTTTTTATGTGCTTTCAAACTGTCTCAGTTTCTGAAAAAAACAAGCAATATCCTCCTAAAGGTGCTACATTTCAAATGTAAAATAATGTATTTGCTGCAGCTGGAAATAAGTAACATACTGAGAAAGTATATTAATAAAAGCACAAAAGCATCTTGCTCCTTTAACGTTCTGTAGCTGGAAAAGAGAATGTAGTAATCACTCCTCATCTAATTAGAATTAGAATTTTTCACTCATAGCTTAGTTTCCATAGCAGAAAGAGAAGAAATAGTTTTTAAAGTACCATTAAATTCTTTTTATATGAAACTTTAGATGAAACTTTAGTGGAACTCTTCTTCAAAACTAATGTCACAATCCACTCCTGAAACTTGAGAAAGTGTTTTCACAGCAACCCGGAATCACTGGGTTGCTGTGAGTTTTCCGGGCTATATGGCCACGTTCCAGAAGCATTCTCTCCTGACATTTTGCTCACATCTATGGCAGGCATCCTCAGCTGTTGAGGGGTCTGTTGGAAACTAAGTAAGTGAGGTTTATATATCTGTGGAATGTCCAGGGTGGGGGAAAGAACTCTTGTCTGCTAGAGGTATGTGCAAATGTTGCAGTTTGCCACCTTGATTAGCATTTAATGGCCTGCAGTTTCAAGGCCTGGCTGGTTGTTGCCTGAAGTAATCTTTTGTTGAGAGGCGCTAGCTATCCCTGATTGATTCTTGTCTGGAATTCCCCTACTTTTTGAGTTTTGCTCATTATTTACTGTTCTGATACTGGTAGCCAAATATTGTTCATTTTCATGGTTTCCTCCTTTCTGTTGAAATTGTCCATATGCTTGTGAATTTGTTCTTTGCCCCACCCTGGACATTCCACAGATATATAAAACTCACTCACTTAGTTTCCAACAGGCATCTGAAGATGCTTGCCATAGATGTGGCGAAATGTCAGGAGAGAATGCTTCTGGAACATGGCCATACAGCCCGGAAAACTCACAGCAACCCAAATTGGGAAAGGTTTCAAAAACCATTGAATGCCCATTAGAACAAGCATGTATAGGTATATCCAAAAGTTTTGGTATGGCTCAGCTAATTCTTTAAACCACAGTTGCTTCTGGGGAAATACAGAACATATAGACCACATATCTTTTTGCCACTAGCTGTTCATACTATTCATTCATCAGACCAAACAAAAATACAAATATAAATTTATTTATTTAGACTTTTGTTTCTGTACTTTCCAAAAAAGGCAGTTAGAGCAATAGCTTTTTATAAATTACAAAACTTATGAAAGACTTAATTATTCAAAGGGCATTTGTGGCAGTGTTTCTAGGAATAATCAATTCAAATTTCTTTATATGGCTTATCATACAAAATACAAGTTGACCAATTAAATACGTGTCACAATCCAATATTCTGATCCACTTCCTCATCTCAACCCCAAAAATATCCTGATCTTATGTATTTCATATTTGCTTCATGAAAACTTCTTAAAACAAGCCTGAAGTGCTACTGAAAGAAATGGCAAAGTTTCAACAGCTTCATGTGTCAGAATGCATTAGCACCCACTACAACATTTCATTACATAATCTAATATTCCAAATTTTCCATAATATTAGATTTGATTTTGGTACCATTTCCCAAACCACAGGTTTACCACATGATGAGAACAAGTTCAAGTCTGCCACAAAATATTTTGGAGAAAAGCAATACATATAGCAACTGAATACACGTAGGGAAGTCAGCTTTCATTTTCTTAATGCCACAGCAAAATGTATACTCACAAAACAGCCCAATAAGACAAACAGGCACTGATAACGATAAATCAGTAGAGATCTTCCATTTCATAAATACAATATTCATCTTTTTCATAAAATATAGCAGTTTTGTGGTTAAATCATGAGAATAAGGCACAGGCCCCTGAGCTATGATGAAGCCCAAGTTTGCGTTTTTGGTACATAATACTATTCAGTCATTGTGATTATTTTTCTGTTTTACATATGCAGCATTTTCAAACACCATAGCTACTTGCTTTCACAATAAAAAGAGAACTACAGCTGCAGTACTTTAACCACACCAATCTTGGCAACTCAATGACATCTCTAGTGTAAACTCATACAGAATTTCCTTATGCCTTGACCTACAAACTTTATCTGACAGGTAATGCTCAGCACATCATGCCTACTATGCCATAATGTAATGTTTATATTTTTGAAGTGGTACATATACATGTCCTCACTATTCTGTTGCAGTTACCTTTTCATATGAATTTCTTTCCTACAAGCCAAGTTAAGCATAAATAATCACTGAAAGTCCTCTTCCAATTTTTAATATGTGATGTGATGAATGCATATCATCAGGCATGTTTGAAGTACTATTGAATAGCTAATAAATGGAGACAGATATGATTGAAAAAGTTGGTTTCAATTGTAAAGGCTCTACAAATGGAAAAACAGCCTCCACTACCTGATCCATAAACAGATCGCTAGCTGAAGAGTTGTTTACAACCTGTTGCTGCAAATGCTCCCTTCTACTTCATTTCTTTTCATGCCTACACACTAAATGTGGCTCTGGTTGTGCATAATTGTACTTTTCTGACAAAAAAAGAACTGCAAATAGGTACTGAAAGAGCCATCCAATTGAAAAGAATGTGCACATGAACCCTAGATAGTATTCCTTCCAACTATACATCCAATTCAAAAACACTGGCTAGGAGAGCCTGGGAGTTTTAATTTTAAAAAAGCTGTTTTCCAAAGCTCCAAGATTCCAATATTGTTGATTTTTAAGAGTAGCATTACATCCCTTTGCCTGAAACGCAGAGACATTTCAAGAGATTTCAGTAAGAGCAAGAATGGTAAGAGGTCTTAAATCACGTCAGCACACAAATTAAGGGCATTGCTTTCCTTTTGGTCGTTATAGAATTCTAGAAATATAAAATGGAATAATACTGTCAGCAGCATCCATACTGCAAACAAGATACAGTAGAGCAGATCCTCCAATCCAAGGGCTTTAAAGCAGCCCTAGCTTTACTATGTTTAAAAAGATTCACGCTAGTTTTCAATATTAAGTTATAAATAGATACTAAATTTTTTGTTATTGTTGAAAAATATACTTTTCTGATTCCCCCCCCCCCCTCCATTTTTCATAGCACCTATCTGATTAACAGTTCTTAAGAACTTAAAAGGCTTATATAATCTTTTTGACATCTTGGTTTGCCTTCATTAATATATTGCTTAGCTCAACATTTTGGATTTTTAAAATTCATTAATCGTCACAACAATTTTTGTTTTCTTATATATAAAACACAGATGCTCTCTGCTTCTATTCTTTCAATAATCTGCTGAACACCTTACCATAATCTATACTACAGTATGTAGTATCATGTAAACACACTGATCCAGAAAGGTACAAAATTAAAAGCATCTAAAAAGCAAAAACTTCCCCAAGATGAATATTCAGGAAAAGAGAACAGAGTTGTTCAGGAAAAGAGAACAGAGCCATGGATGCAGAAAGCGCACAGTAGGATTATTGTGTGAAAGTGTTCTTTACTGAAATCTATTCAGTAAATTGCTTTGCATGCCAATAAGAAAAAAACATCCCAATACTCTTTATTTAGCAAGCACTTGCCCAATAATATAAAAATATTGCTGTTGCTAAATCAAAACAATTCAGCAGACAGTTATCTGACAATTGCTTCAGCTATCAATCAAGGGAAAATACAGCATATAAAACTTGCCCCAACTGAAGATTTAAATTTAATATTGGATTTTGCATGGTTTTAAAAATGCTGCGAAGGTGCAGAGCAAATTTAAATTGCACATGAGTTTACAAAGTAAGTGCTCATAGCATTTTGCTGAATAGTTTTACATTCAGCATCTTAAGAAGGAAAGGTTTACCATTACACTGTTCTTAAAGTAATCCAACTATACCATAATTCTTAAAATGTTAAATAACACGCTTGAAATTTAGGCCTAAATCCAATTGCAAGTTACAATGGGACTGCTGGAATCAATTGAGCTCATATGTTGACATAGCAAATTCCCACTGAGTCTTCTATAATTCCACTTAACAACTGGATTCTGGTTCTAAAGGCCAAGACTGCACTAGAGTGTCCCACCTATGTGCTTCACCACCAACTCTCAGACATACACCTCTGGCTGTAGAGGTAGAAGACCCCCCCCCCCCCCCCCCCGATACAGCTGAACTACAGCAACCCTACTCCTTTACTATGGCTGTATTTACACTGTAGAATTAATGCCATTTGACACCATTATAACTTTTATGGCTCAATGCTATGAAATCACTGGGTTTGTAGTTTGGCAAAGCACCAGCATTATTTGGCAGTAGAGGCTAAAGACCTCATGGAACTACAACTCCCATGTTTCCATAGAACTGAGCCATGGCAGTTGAAAGTAGTGTCAAACTGCATTGTTTCTACAGTGGAGATGCAGCCTATGCTGCTAGGACTTACTGTACAATTTCTGGAAGGCCATGTGACTGTCTCTCCTGTCACCTGGGATTTTTGAGCCACCATTGATTAGAAGGCAGAAAACTTTTCATGGAAGAGAATGACTATGGTTGGGGAAAATACTGTGCTCCCATAATGGCTAAATGCATCTTACACACAATGTGCATGTCTTGGGAGTTCCACTGTTTTGGAAATAAAGGAGCAAGTGAGAAAGGACACTGCCCCTCCTTTATTCCAAAATGGATTGGTGGACATATCCCAGCTTCATGTAGATACACAAAGACACAGCCTTCAAAACAATAACAGACGTACACGAAGGGGAACAATTTTGGAACAGAGAAGATAACACTGTTTAAAGACCATTTCTCCTGTTTCCCTGCTCAAAGCTATTTCCCTCTTAAAGCTGTTTAAGAAAAAAGAGAGTTTCAATACTGTTGGACATCTTCACATGCCAAGTGTGGTTAGTCCCATGAGTCATTGGCCTCATGGGCAACTATAATTATCAGTAGTACAGAGAACTGAACTTATTCAGCACATCTGATAAGACAAATTATTTCTAATCCCTGTATTATTCTCGTGGTGGAAGAGAACAGGTTGTCCTTTCAAAATACACAGTGCCTGAAAATTATTGTTATTTGAAATTGTAAAGGTAATCCTGTACAGAAAACTTACACAATGTCTCAACTTATTGTTTTTCAGCATACATGATCAAAGGTTTTATAAAGTTAAGATATTTCCATTTAAAATGGTTTCATTCCCATTACTTTAAATGGGAGCATAGCATCTTAGATGGAAGCATTTTAGCAGATCCAGGCAATGTATACTTAACATCAACATATTGAATTTGCCAACACCATTTGTACCAAAAGCCACTTCTTCCACACATACAACAAGATTGTAGAAGTGTCCTTGTACTAAATACCATCACAAAAGATAGCTACTTTCAAACTGCACACAGGACCCGTTATTCTTTTCCTCTTTGCAGAATGTGGTGAGTGGATGTTCATACCTTGAGCTTGTAGAAGGAAAACTTCAAATTTCATGAAATCTGCTGATTTATTCCATTTTCTAATGGTTTCGATGGGGATGTCACTGAAGAATATTCCACTGTAGAATGGTGACTGACATCCACTTTAACTAAAACCTCATAGTATAGAAGATAAAAAACGGGTGTTATTATGCCTACTACTACCATTATTACCACAGCGGTCCACCATCCTATTCCCCAGTCTGCTCCATAATAAGGATCTTTCCGTTTACCGGTTTTACCATCTGGCTCAAAGTTTGATTGCTGGGTAGACAAGGCAGAAACAACTTCATTAAGATTTTCTCTCTTTGTTGCATTACATTTCACTATTTGCTCTATATCACGATCTACTTCTTTCAAGAAGTTACCAACAGTCTCATTGGATAATGGCTCAGCAGCTAGTGATGTGTCTGGAAATTCTGCAGGGAATGAAGTAGAAGCCGATCGTGAAACTTGTCTTTTTGGAAAGCAGTGTGTCTCAGTCAATACACTGAACTTCTTCACTGGAATTTTAATTGCTCTTAGTGCAAAGAAGTCCTGATCTGTAATAAGATTGTTCACCCTTTTAATATCTGCTACCTAAAACAAAAAGTAGGAAATGAATTAGTTTTTTTTAAAAAAAACCACAACTAATATTCAATCGAAATTCTAAGTTTTAGTGAAACTAAATCTGGCTACATGTTACTGCTGCAATTTCAGAAATTATAGGAAGAAAACCTTTGGAATCTAGAACAATCTCAAAGGGGAGAGCAAAGGTGATTGTAAGCACTAGCTCATCCTTGACTACCTGCTAATTCAGAAAGGGAAAAGACTGCTTTGTGAATAAAAGCAGTAAGGTATAACCACTTGCCTAAGGGAAGAAATAGTATCATAGTGTATCGTGTAAGGGAAGAAATTGTGCTATATTAATACAAGAAAGCAAAGACAACCCTTGTCTATAAACAAATCTTGCCTAGAAAATGCTGTGATATGTTCACCGTAAGTCAGAAGTTACAGCAACAGTCTTATCGCAGGCAAAGTACTCTTATGTTTCTTTTACATACTGGTTTACCAGAAAAGGAACAGTCTAGAACTGTAAAACCTAGTCATTTATCCATTCATCCCAGTGTGGAATACATCTCACCACATTAAAACAGTAGATGTGGCTCTTAATGAGACAGGCCGCATTACCACAGGATGTCTACACTACACCACTGGACAAATTATACTGTTTAGGCGGTATTGCACCACCTGATATCCATCTGGAAGTAGCTGCCTGTAATGAAAGGACCAAGGCATCGACATCTCAAGCCCATCTTCTGTTCAGCCAGCAAGCCAATGCCTTAAATGAAGAAATTGTTTCCTAAGATTTACAGACACACTCGCAGGAACACCTAAGCAAGCGAGAGTCCAAAAGTGGCAGGTTAAAACCTGGAACCTCAATCAGTGGGTGATACCACATGAGAAACTCCCCCCTGGGCACACAGAAGACTGGGTGACTTGGAAGGTGCTGAACAGACTGTGCTCTGGCACCATGAGATGCAGAGCTAATCTTAAGAAATGGGGCTACAAAGTAGGGTCCACAACATGCAAGTGTGGAGAAGAGCCAATCACAGTCCCCTTACTACAATGCAGTCTGAGCCCTGCCACGTGCACAATGGAGGAGCTTCTTACAGCAAAACCAGAGGCACTCAAAATGGCCAGCTTCTGGTCAAAGGAAATTTAGTATAATGCCAAGTTATAGTCAGATACGGAAGTGCTAAAATATAATTTCACATGCATCTAGTCACATTTAAATGCACTACTGTAAAAGTGGCATCATGTAGTCTTCCAGTTACTGTCTGACACCAATTCACAGCATTCCTATATGTATTATGATTTTTTTCAAAGATTATTTAAAACATATGAATATTATGGCAAATATCTAAAAACTACTGCTTCTACTATCTAATGTTTTAAAAGGTTAGAAATGCATAATAGAAGCAATTGTTTGGAACTAGTTCCTAAAACTCATTACCACTCATAAAAAGCATTTGATTGACAACTGACTTGGTACATTTACCAATAACAATATGGACTGGGATCTTAAAAAGTGCATTAGTTATATCCTATGATCTTGTATTTGAATAATATATAATAGACCTCCATAACATATTATAAAGTTTGAGACTTATCTCTTTAAGAAAAAAGGTTTTAATGTAAGGGACTATTTTTGAAACCTAAGACCTGCAACTTTTGTTTACAACGGGGTAGCTTCAAATTCTCATGATAGCTTTCAGGAAGTTGCTATATCATTTTGATTTTTTTAAAAGCAATCATTGCACTTTCCTTCATGCAAATAAGGTATCTGGGTTGTGTCAGTGTGTTCATGTACAAAACAATTGAAAAAAACATGTTTGGAACAGGGAAACAGCAGACCTTACTATCTCTCTTTCCCTAATGATCCAGGCAATATTGATTCATGGTTATCAAGCAATTAAGTGTAAATCGCAAGCACAGTTGACCTTACAGACAGGTGAGTTCGACAACCACCAGCCAAAGGCTCTCAGATTAAGTTTCATTTTCTAATTGCAGTAAAGTAGGGCAAAATGCATCAACCAGCCTTCAATTTCTTAATACCTGTAACTTGTTCAAGTTACAAGAGTATTTACTATAGAATGAATGATGCCAGTGCCCGCTTCATGCCCTCTTCCCTAAACCACCCATTGGCCTTGGGGATGTATACAGGAGGGGTTCAGTTGTCCTTTTGTACTTGGAAACAAAGAAGCATCATTTCCTCTTATTGAAGAAGGGAGGTGATGGTTTTTTCTTTGACCCAGTTTTGTAAGGATCACTGGTTGGCTCAAAGCACACTCCATCAAGAGGTGTGCCAGGTAGCCTCTGTCTACCCTTGTGAATTCAGTGTAAGAAAAGCAGTTATGGCCTCCTGGAGTAGTTCTACTGGATCTCAGGCAAGGTCTGTAGGAAACTGGTTCTTGTGGTTCCTAGCAATGAGTCAGTTCAGCCATTCGTGTTTCCTCACACATGGATATAATTGTGCCAAGTCATTATTTCACCTTACATACGAGCAATGACTTAATAACTACTGTCAATAGATCTTGAACTTTCTATGCTGGTATCATATGCTTCATTCAGAAGAAAGAAACAAATATCAAAACCTGGGTAACTCAAGCTATTTATAATAGTAAAACAATTTAATCATATATAAAAATTTTAACACTGTTTACATGTCCCTCTAAATTAACTTCATAAAACTTACTGAACAACAGTACTGAAGTGCTATGGCATTTAATGTGTCTCCTTCTTGTATATCCTTTGTTATAAATACAATATCATCCAGTCTCTCTCTTGATGTACTTCTTCGGACTTTCTCCCTTCCCCGGGGTCGCAGTTCGTACACCTCCACTTCATCTTCCAACACATCACTATCAGAATTGATACCATTCCCAAATGGATATGAATGGCTCTCCACTGCAGGCTGCACCACAGATGGAGGCTGGAAACTGAAATTCTGGCTTTTTCCTGTCATCCTATAAGGAGAATTCTAATAATAGAAGAAAAAAAAAGACAAATGATAAGGGAACCATTCAAAGTTTAGAGCTGATTGAAATACAATGTACATGACTAGTAGAATGATAATGTACTCTAAGTATCCTTTCATCTTCTAACTTTACACAACTGCCATAAACAACTTTTTGGTACGCATTGTCTTGCAAGATTTTTACATGGAAAAGAAGGTAAATGGAATAGTCATTACTTTGCCGCCCCCCCACCCTCCAAGAATCTGGAAATATTTTTGTTTTGGACTTCATCTTTTGGATTAGTTCCGGAGATTGGGATCTGTAGAATTCTGGAAGTTAGCACTCCCCCCCCACCCCAAAAAAAAAAAAAAGTAAACTTCCCAAGCTTCTCCTGTTCTATGTTATGTTTGGGAAGAAGTAACAAAAAAGAGGGACACCATTAGGAATGTTGTGGCTAAAAGTAAAATATGTAAACAATCCCACAATTTAGCTGGTTATAAGCAAAGTATCTGGATTGCCTGGGAGTCTTGGAAGTTGGAGAATTCAGCAAGAATGCAACAGATTTCTGATCAAAGAATTAACGAGGCTTCACAACACTCTTTACAACATAAACTGGATTCATATACAGATACTCCCCTAGACATGGTACCTCTACTGACATGGTACTTGTTGATAACATTATGTGACACAATTTTTATTCCTCGGTTATAAATGTCCTTTCCTAATTGGTTCTATAATAAAACAGGGAAAGCTTTTATTGAACTGAAAAAATTTTGTTTTTGCAAGACATCCTGTAGCACATTTTGCTATAGTTTTTCACAAGTGTCTCAACCACTTCAACATAGTTCGTGGCAGTCACAAAAAAATGAAGTTCATGGAGTATAGCAACTACTTTAAAAGTACGGTAAGAACCGAACAATTAAACAGGAAATAACACTTCCAAACCAGGAACAGATTTTTTTTCTAATTTTGTTACAGTGTAATAAGTAATCCATTCAAACGCTTCTAACTATGTATTACCTGAAAGACTGACTATGACTTGGACCAGTTCCACCATTTCAACAAGTTTTTGAGCCTTGCCAAGATGAAAAGCTAAAAAGACAATCAACTCAATATTTGGCAAGGATCTTCTACCTTTATCATAACAGTATGTGTGTGTGTGGGGGGGGGGGTGACATAACTCTGAATATGTGGAAGCTACCAATGAAAATTCAGGAAGATGTGACTGGAAGAGATCTGGAATATGTGGAATCTTCCTTCTACCAAAGTTGATATTTTTAGTTGTTATGCAGTGAAACACAAAGAGAATCTCTCGTGAGGTGGTGGTGATGATGATGATGATGATGATGATGATGATGATGATGCAATCCCAGGCAATAGCAGGATTGAAGAGAAACAACTGGAAAAGCTGACACAATATGAGGATTTAAAGATTGAACCGCAAAGACTCTGGCACAAGCCAGTAAAGGTGGTCCCAGTGGTGGTCGGCACACTGGTTGAAGTGCCTAAAGACCTTGGCCTGCACTTAAACACAATTACCATCTTCCAGCTGCAGAAGGCCACCTTACTGAGATCTGCATGCATTATTTACCGATACATCACACAGTCCTAGACACTTGAGAAGTTTCCGACATGTGATCTAATACAAAAGCCAACAGAATTATCTTGTCTGCTGTGTACTCATCTTGCTGTGTTTCAAATAATAATAATAATAATAATAATAATAATAATAATAATAATAAACTTTATTTCTATCCAACCCTATCTCCCCTTGGGAACTCAGGGTGGTTCACAACAAAATAACAGCAAACATAAAAGTGCAATCAGAAGCAAAAACAACCATAAGTTAAATAAACATATTAAGCATCAACATCAAGCAATAATGAAACATTACAGCAAATAAGTATCACATAACTAAAATTAATTCATAACAAATAAACATTTAAAGCAAGGCTTAAAATTGGGACTAATAAAAATTAAACATAGAATTTAAAAACCAGAGTACTAACTCTTTTTCATAATCTTTCCATTTTGTTTGTGCCAGAGGTTTTATATGACTTCTTCTCTGTATACTTTGAGCATAAAAGGGTCTTTAGTTGTTTTTTAAATGAGAGCAATTAGAGGGCTGTTTTGATCTCCTTAGGGAGGAAGTTCCAGAGGTGGGGGGCAAACACAGAGAAGGTCCCTTCTTTCGTTCCCACCAGCTGTGCTTGAGACAGGGGTGGGACTGAGCGCAGGGCCTCATCTGCCGATTGCAGTGCCTGGACAGGCTTGTATGTGAAGATGTTATCCGCTATGGAATAAGTTGACCATGGTGACTGATAGAATCATAGAATTCTAGATTTGGAAGAGACTTCGTGGGCCATCCAGTCCAACCCCCTACCAAGAAGCAGGAAAATCGCATTCAAAGCATCCTCAACACATGGCCATCCAGCCTCTATTTAAAAGCTTTCAAAGAAGAAACCTCCACCACACTCCTGGGCAGAGAGTTCCACTGATGAACAGCTCTCACCATTAGGAAGTTCTTCCTAATGTTCAGGTGGAATCTCCTTTCCTGTAGTTTGAAGCTTATTTTCTTTTCCAGGGCAGCAGAAAATAAGCTTGCTCCCTCCTCCCTATGATTTTCCCCCACATATTTATACATGGTTATCATGTCTCCTCTCAGTCTTCTCTTCTGCAAACTAAACATGCCCAGCTCTTTAAGCTGCTCCTCATAGGGCTTGTTCTCCAGACCCTTGATCATTTTAGCTGCCCCCCTCTAGACACATTCCAGCTTGTCAACATCCCCCTTAAAATGCAGTGCTCAGAATTGGACACAGTATTCCAGGTGTGGTCTGACCAAGGCAGAATAGAAGGGTAGCGTGACTTCCCTGGATCTAGAAACTATGTTATTTATGCAGGTCAAAATCCCATTGGCTTTTTTAGCTGCTGCATGATATTGTTGGCTCATGTTTAACTTGTTGTTCACGAGGACTCCAAGATCTTTTTCACAAATACTGATGAATCTTCAACTCTTCTTTTATACCTTCTTCCTAATCCCCGCTTTACACCACTCCTCCTGAAATAAGGAGTCTCAAAGTGCAAACAACAAGCAGAACAAGCTGCATAATAGACAAAGAGTCTCCCCCAGTTCTCCCTCACTGCAGCAGACCTAACAGCCCCATGCAATCCCTCCCTCCAAACTTTGGCACTGTGTAGCTCTTCTGTGCCTTAGAATCCTTTCCAACATATGACACTCTTAAAGCAAAACCTATCAAAGAGTTTTCTGGGGCTGAGAATATGCGATTTGCCAAGGGTTGTCCAGTGGGTTTCAATACATGTGGATTCAAACTTTGTCCTACAGAGCTGGAGGCCAGCACTCCAACCGTTACATTCTTTATTTTTTATTTAGTTACCGTATTAATATATCGCCTTTCTCAGCCCGAAGGCGATTCAAGGTGGTTTACATTTGGCACAATTTGATGTCCCCCAACATATAAATACAATTGAAAACATTAGCATATAAAACATGAATTATTATTATTATTATTATTATTACTACTAAACTTTATTTGTACCCTGCTACCATCTCCCCAAGGGACTCGGTGCGGCTTACATGAGGCCGAGCCCACAATACAACAATAAATAAAACTCATAAACAGAAAATAGCGATAAACATTAACAATAACACAACAATGTTTAAAAACCTATGGCAGGGCCAAATGTACTACTTAAAAATTTAAAAAATAATGCTGGGCGTGACTAGGTGACATATAAACAGGATAGAAATTTTGGAGAGGGATAGAGTGTGCAGACAATCGTAGATCACTACTAAAGTGTGTTTAGGGACATATTGCTGTGAGTTTCCTTATTCAGGGAAGGCACACTGGAACAACCACGTTTTCAGGCTCCTCCTAAAGACTGCCAATGTTGGAGCATGTCTGAATTCATAAAAAGTCAATTAAAAACATAAATCCTTAGCATCTCCTTACTGAAATCACTATTCCATCACATTAGTCCTATTAAATCAAGTTGTATGATGACTACACTTCTGTGTAAATTCCTCTAAATTTGGGGGTCCTCAAACTTTTTAAACAGAGGGTCAGGTCACGGTCCCTCAAACTGTTGGAGGGCTGGATTATAATTTGAAAAAAACATGAATTTCTATGCACACTACCCATATCTTACTTGCAGTGCAAAAAAACACTTAAAACAATACAATAATTAAAATGAATAACAATTTTAACAAATATAATCTTATTAGTATTTCAATGGGAAGTGTGAGCCTGTTTTTGGCTGATGAGATAGGATTATTGTTGTGTGCTTTTGATTCAGACTTAGGTTGACCCTGAGCGAGGGCCTGGTAAACAACCTTGGAGGGCCGTATCTGACCCTCGGGCCTTAGTTTGAGGACCCTTGCTCTAATTCATTGGGTCTACCACTTTCAATAGCTTCAATAAGATTGAAGCCTACTGGCAGGTGATCATAATAGTCCTATTAAACCTACTTGGCTGCATTTACACTAGAGCAGTGTTTCTCAACCTGGGGGTCGGGACCCCTGTGGGGGTCGCGAGGGGGTGTCAGAGGGGTTGCCAAAGACCATCAGAAAACATGGTATTTTCTGTTGGTCATGGGGGTTCTGTGTGGGAAGTTTGGTCCAAATCTATCGTCAGTGAGGTTCAGAATGCTATTTCATTGTGGGTGAACTATAAATCCCAGCAACTACAACTCCCAAATGCTGAGGTCTATTTTCCCCAAACTCCACCAGTGTTCACATTTGGGGATATTGAGTATTCCTGTCAAGTTTAGTCCAGATCCATCATTGTTTGAATCCACAGTGCTCTCTGGATGTAGGTGAACTACAACTCCAAAAATTCAAGGTCAATGTCCACCAGACCCTCCCAGTATTTCCTCTTGGTCATGGGAGTTCTGTGTGCCAAGTTTGGTTCAATTCCATTGTTGGTGAACTTCAGAATAGTCTTTGATTGTAGGTGAACTATAAATCCCAGCAACTACAAATCCCAAATAGACGAAATCAATCCCCCCAACCCCACCAGTATTCAGATTTGGGCGTATCAGGTATTTGGGCCAAATTTAGTCCAGTAAATGAAAATCCATCATGCATATCAGATATTTACATTACGATTCATAACAGGAGCAAAATGACAGTTATGTAGTAGCAACGAAAATAATGTTATGGTTGGGGGTCACCACAACATGAGGAAGGGGTCATGGCATTAGGAAGATTGAGAACCACTGCACTAGAGGATAGATCTGGCATGGGCAAACTTGGGCCCTCCCTCCAGGTGTTTTGGACTTCAACTCCCACAATTCCTAACTGCCTACCGGCTGTTAGGAATTGTGGGAGTTGAAGTCCAAAACACCTGGAGGGAGGGCCCAAGTTTGCCCATGCCTGGGATAGATGCAGTTCGACGCCACTTTTTACTGCCATGGCTCAATGCTATGGAATAATGGGATTCACAGTTTTAAATGGCCTTTGGCCTTCTCTGTCAGAGTGCCTCATCAAACCACACATTCCAGGTTTCCCTAGCATTCAGCCTTGGCGGTTAAAGTGGTACCAAACTGCGCTAGTTCTACAGTGTAGCTGCCCCACAAAGCGACCCCGAAATACCTGTCTGTCTTCCGGGCGACGTCATGCCAGAGGCCTCCTCCTCTCTCCGCGCCTCCTCCCTCAGTGACAGGCCTAGGCCGCGCTCAGAAACAGCGAGCAAACAGCAGCGCCGGCGCCACGTCTGCAAATAGGCCCCGCCCCCTTCTAGCGGGCCAACGAGAGGCCAGGAAGCTTTGCGCAGGCGCAAAAGCGTTCACGGAGTCAAATACAGGCTCAACGTTGCTCTCTTCAGAGAAGCCACCTCTTGCTGCGCATGCGCGCTGTGGGTTTTTTTTTTTCTTCCTCCCCTTCTCATCCCCGCTGAACTATGGAACTTTCAAGACTCCAATTAGGGAGCGCGTCTACTCTGTTGCATTAATGCAGTTTGATACCACGTTAACTGCCATGGCTCAATGCTTAGGAATCCTGGCAATTATAGCTTGGTTATTTATCGTGTCAGGAGCAAACCGAATAGTTGTATTTCATTTTTTTAAAACAAACAAAACACAAAGTTTGCAAGCTTGGTAGTTGATTAAATGTCCTTTGACCAGTATCTGGCCACTTGGAGTGCCTCTGGTGTTGCCGCAAGGAGGTCCTCCATTGTGCATGTGGCAGGGCTCAGGTTGCATTGCAGCAGGTAGTCTGTAGTTTGCTCTTCTCCACACTCGCATGTTGTGGATTCCACTTTGTAGCCCCATTTCTTAAGATTGGCCCTGCATCTCGTGGTGCCAGAGCGCAGTCTGTTCAGCGCCTTCCAAGTCACCCAGTTTTCTGTGTGCCCAGGGGGGGAGTCTCTCATTTGGTATCAGCCATTGGTTGAGGTTCTGGGTTTGATCCTGCCACTTTTGGACTCTCGCTTGCTGAGGTGTTCCAGCGAGTGTCTCTGGAGATCTTAGAAAACTATTTCTTGATTTAAGGTGTTGACGTGCTGGCTGATACCCAAACAGGGGATGAGCTGGAGATGTCACTGCCTTGGTCCTTTCGCTATTGGCTGCTACTTCCCGGCGGATGTCAGGTGGTGCAATACCGGCTAAGCAGTGTAATTTCTCCAGTGGTGTAGGGCGCAGACACCCCGTGATGATGCGGCATGTTTCATTAAGAGCCACATCTACTGTTTTAGCATGGTGAGATGTGTTTCACACTGGGCATGCATACTCAGCAGCAGAGTAGCATAGTGCAAGGGCAGATGTCTTCACTGTATCTGTCAGGTGGTGCAATACCGGCTAAACAGTGTAATTTCTCCAGTGGTGAGGCATCAAGACTCTTTGGCATCAGGATAACTTCCATTATTCCATAGCATGGAGCCATGGGAGTTAAAGTAATGACAAATTGCATTAACTGTACAGTGTAGATGTAATCTGAGTCTGATGGCAAGCTGCTCTTAATACAGATCTTAAACTTCAGATCACACAATCAGCTCTGTATAAAAGAATTGCAACTAAATGTGAAATCAGATGCCAGTAAACATTCCAATTGAGGAAATGACAAAGCCACTTCTAAGTATTTCTTGTTTATTCGTTCAGTCGTTTCCAACTTTTTGTGATCTCATGGACCAGCCCATGCCAGATCTCCCTATCAGCCGTGGCCACCCCCAGCTCCTTCAAGATCAAGCCAGTCACTTCAAGAATGCTGGCTTCTCAAGATACGGGTGCAACTGGTGCACAAGTTTAATTGTGCAAAAGTTCCCCTGTAGTCCAATGGGCAGCAGCCAGACTGCTCACTGGAGCGGCGTACAGAGAGAGGGCATCCCTCCTCTTGCGTCAGCTCCACTGGCTGCCAGTCTGCTTCTGAACACAATTCAAAGTGCTGGCATTAGCCTATAAAGCCCTAAACAGTTCCAGCCCAGTTTACCTGTCCGAACATATCTCCCTCTATGAGCTGGCAAGGAGATTAAGATTGTCTGAGGAGGCACTGCTCTCGATCCTGTCTCCTTCACAGGTGCAGTTGGCGGGGATGAGAGACAGGGCCTTCTCAGTGGTGGCCTCTCGGCTATGGAACTCCCTCCCAAGTGAAATTAGATTAGCCCGCTCCCCCTTGACCTTCAGGAAAAGGCTAAAAACATGGATGTCCAACCAAACATTAAATGAGTAATCTACCAGTGCAAAAAGAAAAGATGAAATAGTGCAATGAGTAAAACATAATAAATACGATATCAGATTACTTTATTTTAAATAATTGGTTTTAAGGTTTTATTATGTTTTACTCATTGTTTTAATACTTATGTTTTTATTATATGTGTTTTGGCATCTTGTTGTTGTTCATTTGTTCAGTAGTTTCCAACTCTTTGTGACCTCATGGACCAGCCCACACCAGAGCTCCCTGGCAGCTGTCACCTCCCCCAGCTCCTTTAGAGTCAAACCAGTCACTTCAAGGATACCATCCATCCATCTTGCCCTTGGTCGGCCCCTCTTCCTTTTTCCTTCCATTTTCCCCAGCATCATTGTCTTCTCTAAGCTTTCCTGTTTCCTGTTTTGGCATCTAATTGTTGCCTATATGTATAAGCTGCTCTGAGTCCCCTACAGGGTTGAGAAGGGTGGGGTATAAATTCAATAAATAAATAAATAAAAGATGCACCCAGAGAAAAGCAATTCTGAAACAGCCTTTCAAAGAGAAGGCTTTTGAGACACAATAGTGACCACTGGGAAACTCATTGTTCAGTAAAAGCTATGGGTCAATAATGACAGATGTAGAGGGACTGTTCAGAAATGTGGATGAAAAATATCAGGTGTGTATCCCTATTTGAGACATTACAGCCAGATCTTTAGCAGAACATTTATTTTAAAATATTGGAGGCTCAGCAAGAAAGAAAGTCCTCGAGACAGATGCTACACACTATTGGTTCAACTCAGCATTGCTACAGCAGCACACTTCCTCGGAGAAGGCAAAGTAAGGGGGGGTTGCCGTGACCCTGCTTCACTCCTTTCTGTAATCATTTGTACCCAGTGACATTTTCCCATCAATATACAAAAGGCTATATTTCCAACTTGATGAACAGGACAGTAGCCGCACAGCCTATGAATACTAATGTGGATGCAGCTTTTCTCCTTCCCTATGTAAATTACTTCACTTATTCTAATACTGCATATTAAGTGAGTTAACAAGGTCAGTATTAATCACTGCATGACACCTGTATGTACAAGGATTTGTTTGGCTCACTTGCCCTCCCTCGGCATATTTCTGCCCAGGCTTGAAAACAGAATTAAAAAGTGAGGAACACATTAGACAATGCTAGTAGTATCTTCAGGGAAGAAAGAGTTAACTAAAAAAAAAAAACTGAAGGAAAAGCAGTTAACATAAAGTAGATCTTATTCATTTGATAAAATACCCAAAGACAGCCTGATCATCTTTATCCATTTTATAAACTGTTTATAAAAATTGTGCTACACATCAACTAGCAATATGATCCATGTGAACAAGCACCTTATTAAACAAATAAAATGCTTGTTCACATGGATCTGTAGGTTATAAAGAGTAAGAACAAACACTTTTAATTTCAAAGCTGAAAGTTCGCCTTTTCATTCTGAGTGTATGGACTGAAACATCATGGATATAGTCCAGACTTCAGTGAATGAGAGCTGGATTTCTCACTTCTGCCTTATATTATGCTCTTGGAAATTTATTTACAGCTTTATTTTTTATGTCCAAGCCAGAACGCTGTTCGGTTTCACCAGAGTCAGTGAGACTTACTTGTCTGTACTTGGATAATAACCACTATAGGTAGAATTCGGGTGCCAGAGGTCCCAATATATATTAAGTAACTATCAGTCTTAATTTCTGACTTTTAAATTACTACACACAAAGGCATTATCAGAGATAGCTGTATACCTATTTTATGTGGGTACCAACCAACAAAAAATTGTGACAATGATGGGTAGGTAGTCTCAGCTGTGTGAGGGGGTTCATTGAGAGTAACATGCCCATTAGGCTTCTAGACCCTGGAGCCCACACTTCACTATGGTGTGCCAAAATATAGACTTCATTGTAGGCTGGAAATATTATTATGACTTATCTTATTTATCGTACCAGAAGCAAATTGAGGGGTACAGTTGTAATGTATTTAAAAACACAAAAAGTTAAAAACTTGGCATATTAAATGTCTTTTGACTAGTAGCTGGCCACATGGAGTGTCTCTGGTGTTCCTATAAGAAGGTCCTCCATTGTACATGTGGCAGGGCTCAGACTGCATTGTAATAGGTGGTCTGTGGTTTGCTCTTCTCCACACTCGCATGTTGTGGACTCTACTTGGTAGTCCCATTTCTTAAGGTTGGTTCTGGATCTCGTGGTGCCAGAACACAGTCTATTCAGCATCTTCCAAGTCACTTCGTCTTCTGTGTGCCCAGGAGAAAGTCTCTCATTCTGTATTAGCCATGGATTGAGGTTCTGGGTTTTAGCCTGCCACTTTTGGACTCTTGCTTGCTGAGATGTTCCTGTAATTATCTCTGTAAATCTTAAAAAGCTATTTCTTGATTTAAGGCGTTGGTGTGCTGGCTGATATCTGAACATGGGATGGGCTGGAGATATCAATTCCTTGGTTCCTTCATTATTGGCTGCTACTTCGCGACTGTTCTGGAACGGCTGTTCCAGGGGCTCCAATATTTGTGCTTTGCACTGTTTGTTCATAGTCCTAGGTTTCAGGGACTCTGCAGATAGGTGGCTTCCTTTGGCTGCATTCATAGGGCAAGCCACCTGTCAATAATAGTTAGGATCCTTGGTCCCACCCCTCTCTGGGTTTTTTGGAGGGAAAGGGCCATCTTTCAGTTAGTCTCAGCAAAGAAAGTCAATGCAGAGGATGTATACAGACGTCCTTCTGTGCAAAGGCTTCGTCCCTTAAAACTTCCCCAGGTGAGAACAGTCTGAAGAGCCTCTAAAGATTCCCAAAGGTTCTGGGGAAACAGCCTTACAGCCCTGAGGAATTCCGGAGGGAATAACAGCTCTAACCATCAAAGCAGCTAAGTGACTACAGGCCTGCTGGTATGTCTACTCAGTTCTGAGACGCAGTTCAGCCGGTAGTGGATTCAAATCAGTCAGGTTTAGGTTCACAGCAGCCTGGGAGGAGCTAGAAAGGGGAATTTTCCTTTGAACAAGGTTTTTGAAGATAGTGCCTGTTCCCTGTGAACAAGATTGCAAGAGCCAAGAGACTGTTAAGAAAACTTTACAACTCCT